GACAATTGTCAACTGTTACTCATGGAGCTACTCCTGGAACATCCATCCATGAAGGCCAATCAAATGATCTGGCAAATCACAATTTTGTCACTGGGAATAGCTACCTATGTTGAACACAGACTGAACACTTGAAGTATTTTATTTATATAGATTCCTGAGACTTTGCAAAAATATGCTTTTATATTCTTTCATGACACATGTACAGAAAAAATTTTTATGTACTAGCCAGTGCATTGTCAAAAAAACCCAGAGTACCTCAAACCCAATTCTTTCATCCCAAGGTTGCATTTTGATAGAAGCATCAAGGCTGATTTGTACAGTGAGATACATGTTCCCTGCTATGCTAAATATCAGGTGTTCCTGTAGTTAATGTCTCTCTAAATACTCATGCATAGCTTCCCATTCAAAACTGGCCAATGTCTCCCCAAATCTATTTTGCAAAAGAATAATTAATGACCTAATGCAGGCAGAAAGTATCTCCTTCAGCAGTCACTTCTTTCATGGCTAGAACCTTGCACAGTAGCTAACACACTGGAGGCATATCATAAAGACCAACCGAATAGTGTATAATTTACTGAAGCTTTTTAGGAGAAAAGCTTATGAGGTCATTCTTGAGATAATTGACTCCATAACCCCAGACAGACACATGACTGAAGTGAATGAGGATACAAACACAGCCAGTGGGTCTGTGTTGCACTTCACTGTGGGCTCCCTCAGCAGCTGCAAACCAAATTTTTCCAGTTGAGAATATGATATAAGATTCTCCTTAAATTCACTGTACCACTTTTCTCCTAGAGTCTCTGACGATGACACAGAGACCATGGGAACTATCTTGGGAAAGAAAAAAACAAAGGTTCCTACCCTTCCAGGAACCCTGGGGTTGTAGACAGCACATTGTAGACAAAAAAAGAATCACTACCATTCATTGTCTAAATAAGGTGGCTCTTACTGGTGGTGGCTATGGAGTGATATTCCATTTCCTTTGATTCAGTACCAATAATATTTAATCATTTCTATCAGAGAGAGAAATGAAAACATCCACAGTAACCACAGAAGCTTTTTGTCCTCCAAGCATCATTTCTTGACAGCATAGGGTTGAATTTTTTTCTTACATTGACTTTTCAGAAGACAGAATGTCTCTGTATTCTTTAGAAGTCTCTTTTTTGATACAATGGCACCTCATGGATTGATGTTTTGTCTCTTGAAATATTTCATAAAGCAGTAGTTTATGAAGTTCCATTGTCTTTAGCTCTATTTATTGTTTTTGGAAATGGAATCCACTTCCATCCAAAGAAAAAGAAATGCCTCCTAGTCAGGTCAACACAAACTTTCAGATGGATGATGACAGAACGTGACTTGCTACAAGCCATGGGTAAGAAAGATGGATAAAAGCCTTTCTCTGGGCAGATCATAATATAGTGCTTCAATGTAAATAGGAACAGATACATAGCAGTAGGGATTACATTACTTAATACAGATGTATTAACAAGGAGACTGAGTACATGAACTAAGTAAATTATTCCCACATATGCATGGAATGAATCAAAATTTAAATTCTGGTTTCTGTGTTCCCCAGTTTATTTCTTGCCCCTTCATATTCTCTCTATCTGGTAAAGTATGAAGAATGATCCTCACACCTCACTTTCTTTCATAAAATATCTATCACTTGCCTTCCAAAAGTACTAAACAAGCAGAGAGTCTGAGGAGAACTTAGACAGTGTTAGGTAGGGAGGAGCCAGAGGCCACCCCTTTACATTACTTGTGGCAAATTTGGCAGCCTTGTTTCTATTAATAGCTCTAGCTCTCACCATCAGACCAGTTACACTCAGAACAACTGCGGGACTAATTCTAGCTGCTGGATTCCATTCCAAACTCATGTCTTTATCCCTTTAGTCCAGGAAAAAGGGATGTTGCCTATCTCTGTCTGACTCAGCACTTCCTAGCTTTCTCCCATCCATCAAGGTAATTGGTTTTTTCTTGATTTGTATTTTTTTGGCTTTTTATTATGTTTCTTTTAATGGTTGAATACTAATTGAAAGACTTCATTCTGTTTATTAATTTTAAGAGAATTTGTCAATAATATTTTTAAAAGCCTAGGATGCCCTTTTGTTATTTAGAACAAAAGGAGATAGAATAGCATTTTAAGCAGAAAGGGAGTGGGGCTTACATTAAACTTTGTTTTTATTTATTCATTGTTTCTTTCACACCATGCATCTCAGTCCCATTTATTTTCTGTTCCTTTGAATCCATCTTCTGACCTTACAACATTCCCCACCCCGAAAAAATTAAATAAAATTTAAGAGAGGAAAAACAAGGAAACTCTCATCATGGAAGCTCTAATGTGACACAATAAGCCACACAAGTAAACCCTTTTATCCATACAGCTTTACTTACAAATGTTCCTTGCAAAGAGTCTACTATGCTATGGTTTCTGCTACACTATTAATGCTGGGCCCTCACTAGGACTCCTCTTGGATATCCTATTGTTGTCCTGTGTTGAAGAAATTCTGCAACTTTGGTTCTGCAGGAATAGCCCCTTTGCATACTCCAGCAGATCACAGATGGGGTGGATGTTGGGGTGAGCTAACTCATAACCCTGGTTCTGAGCCTGGGTCCCTTGTCGCTTCAGCATTGCCCTGGTCAGTTCACCCCTTGCAGCAAGAGTAAGGGTAGGAGCGGTTCTCCTGCTTTCATGCCCTCAGAGTAGGCTCTCTCACACCTACACCATCAGGGCCAGCTCTACAGTGTTGCCAGGTGAGGTGCAGAGGCCACTCTCCTGAGTGCTACAGCTGGTGAGGAAAGGGACAGCTCTCTCACTCTTATGACCTCAGGGCCAGTTCTCCCACCTGCCACAGGTGGCAAAGGCAGGACAGTTGGTGCATCTCTCCCCTGCCCACACTACTATATAGCAGATGAGGAGCAGCACCAGATCTCCTATGCTCACATTCTTGTAGGCATCTCACCAGCAACCCTGTCAGTAGGGCCAGCTCTACTGTGCCACCAAGGCAAGATGCAGGGTCTACTTTCCTGAGTGCTGCAGCTTGTAGGTGAAAGGGCCAGCTCACTCACCCACCAGGCAACAGGGGCAAGGGGAGAGGGTATCTTTCCCCAGCCCTCACCATCACATGGCAGACAATAACATAATGTATGTGCACCTACTGAATGATGATGATTTCTTTTGGAAAGAGATGGTCAACATCTGGCATTCTCAGTTTTACAATGTATTGCTTGTATTTTAATATCCATGAGAAACACTGCCAGTGCCCATTTCTGTTGCCTTGTCTGTACTATTTCGGCAAATGTAGGCAGGATACTCAATAAGCAAAGCCTGCTATTCTTTGCTTATGTTTTTTTTTCTTGCCACTGGATCAATTTTCCCCACATTTGCCAGGAGAGAAAGAGAGAGAGAGAGAGAGAGAGAGAGAGAGAGAGAGAGAGAGAGAGAGAGAGAGAGACTACAGAGCATCCTTCAGCTGAAGAATTAATTAATTAAGGTGGAAAGACCCATCACTGAATATGAGCAGCACCATTTCCTGGGCTGGACCCTAGGCTGAAATGAGAAAAAATAAATGAGAGCTAGAATGCAGGTGTTTTTTGCTCTCTGTTCCTGATTATGGCTACACTGTAAGCAGCTCCCTCAATATTTTGTTGCTGTGACTTCCCGACTATGATGTACTAGAATCTAGAAATGTGAACTGAATAAACCCTTTCTTCCAGAAATGACTTCTGTCTGGGTATCACTTCTTTCTTTATGAGGTATCCTTGGTTCTGCCGGATTTAGCCTGTCAGTATATGCTTTCCTTCCTGCTCCTCCCTTCTGAGCATTTATTTCAAGACCCAAATAAATTATGTGTTATAACCACTGCTTCTAAAGCATCCCAGGGTAACAGAACAAATCAACTTCTCAACCTTCTACTGAATGAGGAACAACACCAATAAGGTGAATCATGTAAATTCTTTGAGGGGAAAAAAACAAGTGAGTAGATACTTGGGATAAAATTTCATTGATTAATGACTGATATAACTGCAGACATGTTTATGTGTCTCTGTAGAGAAAGGGTGCATATCTATGTGCCTTGCATTCTCTCATTCGAGGTATGATTGGCTTATCTAATCAAAGTACCTTTTGCATATAACATAAAAATCCTTGCAATGAAAATAAGAGTTATGGAGAACCCAGAAAGTTAGACCATGGCTATTCTAACATTACATCATGATAAGATATGTTCATGAGTAGCCTTGCTCTCCTAATTGGATGTCATTGAATTACAAAAAGAACATGTTCATATTTTTGTTTCTCTGACTACAGAGAACTGAAATCAAAATTAATGCTAATCCAGCTTACATTTTACAGTATCAAGCAGTAAACTGTGAAATGTTTGTGATAAAAATGCATTTGTTCTTTGTAACTCTTGGCATCATTTTGTTTTTGTTTCCAGGGACTAATATGTTAATTTTCTATGCACTAATTTATGGTTAATTTTATAGTAAAGATTACACATAGTGTACTTGCTTCTCTAAATAGATGTGTATTTATGTCAAGACAATCCTTCTCTTTTAGCCCCTAAGATTTTCTTTGCTTACTATTTTCTACATCTCTTGGACTAATCACAGTACTTGGGTAGCTGTTTATATGGAGTTACTTTTCTTTTAGGATAAAAATACAAGCAAAATTTAGACAAAATAAAAGGAAACAACATATTAGCTTATTGAGAGAATAATTGTTAATTTCTTGTGCTTCCAGAAAAGCATAAGCAATGATTGAACTAAGCAAACATTTGTTGAAAAGAAAGTCATGGATCTGGGACACTAATGAGTTTGCTTTCTGTTGTCTGACAGACTCCTCAGCTGAAGAGTGTGTTCATGTATGTTCTACAAAGGATTGATATGAAATTTGAAAATTAATCCTGTCACACTGTGAACAATTAAAATCAAAGATTACACCATCTTGAGAGCAAAATAATAACACTCAGGGAACTTTAATGACATTTAGCCACTCTTTCTTTTATTGGTATTTTAATCTACTCAGTAATATAAAGAGAACAAAAAGATTAGATACTAGAGTAAAACAAGAAAAAAGGGAATGTTCTATGCACACAGCAAAAATGCAATACTTTCATTGACTCAGAAAACCTTACATTGCTAAAATTCAATTTAATTAGTTACTTAAATGCATGACCTTATGAGAATTTGATAGCTATGGATCATCTGAACTTGTCAGTTGACCCCATGCTGCGATAATCAATTTTTCAATGTCAGACTCATTTACTCCTCGAAGAATCCTAAAATAGCCATTCTCTCCCCACGACTTTCCCCAGGAATTGGCAGCAATCTGCAGAAAAAAAAAACAAAAACATGGAAATGTTGAGCATTATACTTTGATATTTTTCAATTCTTTCTATAAAAACAGAAAAGTACTATTTGGCTTTAATTTGCCTTTGGCTTTTACAGATGGTAATGATTAAGCACCTAAATATTTTCTGGATAATGATCAAGGAGTTCTATTACTTATATCACATTAATATCCTCATGCGTATTCTCTGGCAGGAGCCAGAACTGATGCTCCTTCAAATATGATGGTGCATTTGGATTGTAGACTTGACATAATATATGATCACCTGAGATGGGATTCTCTCTGGGGAATTCTGAGGTTATTTTAGGGACATGCCTATGAGGAATGTTCTTAATTTGATTAATTGAGGTAGAAAAACCCATCCCTGAAGGTGCGCAATACCATTTCCTGGGCTGGTCCCTGGGATATATGAGAAAAACAAAAACCACGATAAGAACTAACATGTAGGTATTTTTTTCTCTCTTTCCCTGAATATGGCTACTATGTGAACAACTCTCAATAGTTTGAGACTGTGACTTCCCTACTCTGATGGAGTGAAATCTAGAAATGAAAGCTGAAATAAATCCTTTCTTCCCTAAATGACTTTTGTCTGTGTATTTGGTCATATCAAATGGAAAAGAATGTATGACACAGATGTGTGAGAGTTATGACCTATCCTTGTGTTAAACACCAGAAAGCCCCCAAATAAATGATACATTACTATGTGTTCAGATGAGTTATAAACTAATGAATTATGATCAGCACAAAGCTAAGGTGGACATACTCATAGCGTGTTATTAAGGTCACCCTAGCTGCATCACATTTATTTATAAGAAAGATGTAGACTGGCTATATGAAATGCATAGAGCATGCTGTGTAGAAACTGACCAAACTCTCATTGTAGAGAGATGCTCTAGTAGAGGAAAACAGCAAAACCCAGAAATGCTAAGCATGAAGCAGCATAAGGGAGTTTATGGAAATAATTAAATTGTTAAGATTCTTGTTAGGCAGCTCACTCAGGAAGAAAACCTTAAATCCATCATAGAGTGCATAGCAGTCTCAAACTCAGCAAAGCTCCTTAGTGTCCTTTCACTAAGACTTCCCACCCTACAATGAGTACTATAGACATGAGCCACCAACCCTGGTGACTGCCTCACTGCTTTCAGTTATGTAATCTAATGAAGGCAGAGAAAATAAAGTATCTGAGAAAGTAAAATCAGCAGGAATTAGAAGTTTTTCCTTTATTCTTTTTCTTTTTAAATTCTGGGGATGATTGGAAAGCTGGTTTGGATCCAGAATAACTCCTAGATCTGAAGCTTGAGTGAGTAAGTTCATTGTGAAGCAAAAGCACTAATGGAGTGTGCAGAAAATGTCATAAAGGCAGAAGAGGCACATGGAGGGAATTAGTTGACCACAACTAAATGCAGTAGACCAGCTCTGTAAATTAGAGACTTCATAACAACAGCTGCCATACTTGGCTTCCATTCACCCAGTGCTGGGTCTAAGATGGAAAATGATCTTGGGTGTGATCTGCACTGATATTCCCAAGGCATATGGTGTTGCATTCAGTTTCCTCGGTTTTCTCCAATGAGGAATAGACTCCCTCAGCTTCAGAAATTGTCAAGACAACATCAGTTTTAAAAGACATCCAATTATCATCAGCATTTCTTATTTTAGAGTTGGCTTTTTGCCTCCTCAATCATCCCTGACACCTGAAAGGAACACTCTCAAAGATGGGTCTGAATTCACAAATGCAGTGTGTCTCCTCAAAGTCTAAATGGACTTTGAATAGCTGGAAATGAGACAGCAGCAAAATGAGTGACTTTGAAACTGGGATCTAAACAAAATTCCAATTCCCAAATTTTGTAGCCATTTCCAATATATGAACATATTGGAAACATGTATATGTATATTTGCCAAAGACAGAAAAATCAAAATTAATCTCAAATTAAAAATATTTTAGAAGCAGTATTATTTTTATAGTGAAACTATAGTTGTAGAACTGTACCTATTTTCATCTGACTATCTGAAGATTATTTACATACCAAATTTTGTCATTTTATCTTTGGTGAATCTGGGAGGGGAATGTAAAATTTGTTAAACAAATGCAAACTCATATGCTAAGAAAAGTTGTGATGGCTAATATTGATTATCAACTTTACTACACCTGGAAACCAACTAAAACCCAAACAGTTGGGCACCCCTGCAAGGCATTTTCTTCAGTGAATCATTTGAAGTGGGAAGACCCTCCCTAAATCTGGGCCCCAACTTCAGGTGAGCCTCACATAAAAGGACATGGAAGCAGCAAACGTCTCCTTTTGTTTGCTTGCCCCCACTCTCCAGTCAAGTTTATCTATCTTCTGGATGATGCTTTCCTTCACTGACATTAGAACCTACTTCTCCAGGGTTCCAATGCAGACAAAAGCTTGCATATTCTCTGGGAATCTTTTGTATTTCTACCACAACATTGGGACTGCTGAGATTATTCTAAGAGTTCATTCAAGCTATTCTTCTGATTGATTGCCTTAACTTTGTCAGAAAGGGGGCAAGAATCTTGGGGGATATATTAAATTTAGCCTACCACAAATCCGCTCATCTAAATGCTAGCAAGTTCGGAATAAAGTGGCCCTTCCACTTTCATATACAAGATATCTTCAAGGAATCCACACCAATACCAAAGTAAATTTTAAAGTATTGAATGCATTTCTTGTATCCTTATAGAACAAAGCATGATCATTCACTATTATCACACCCATCAACATTTCAATGGAGGTCCATTAGGTTTCATTTAATGAAGGAAAAGAAATATAATTAATATATATAAGTGATATGATTCTATATATGAGACAATAATACTTCACCAGAATATTTTAAGAGCTCATAAATATTTCCATTAAACTTGTGAGATACAAATTAACATATAAATAGCAGAACCCTTTCTGTATACCAATTATAAATACATTGAAAAGGAAGTCAGAGAAATAATCCAATATACATTAACAAAAATAAGACATACAAACAACAACAACAAAATACCTGGAATAAACCTAACCAAGAAAGTGAAGAATGTCTACATTGAAAACACGGAAAAAAGAAGAAATTGGAAAGGACACTAGAGAATGGAAATATTTCCCATTCTCATGGATTAAAAAAATTAATTTTGTGAAAATGGCTATTCCACTAAGAACTATCTACAAATTCAACACAATCCTGATCAAAACATAAATGTTATTCTTCACATAAATAGAAATAGATAAAAACAGTATAACACTGGCCAAAAAAGCTAGAAGACATGAGATCAGCAGAATAGAATAAAGAACCAAGACTTATATATAAATCCCCACAACCACAGACACCTGACTTTTGACAATAATACCAAAATGATATAAGAAATGCAAGTTGGAGAAAAGACAGTATCTTCAACAGTTCTGTAAAAACTATATCTACATGTAGAAGAATGAAATTAGACCCTAAAGTTTTGACATGGTTATACTGGTTTGTGGAACTTTTCCTTATTGTATCATCCATGAGAGTCTTTAATATAACAGTGGTTTTATTTGTTGTTTAAATGTTTAGAGAGACTGACAAGACTATCCACCCAAAGTTTCTTTGTGAGAGTATTGTAATGCAGTCAGTTTTGTGAAAATCTTCTAGGAAGTTCTCAGACTTTCCTCTTTCATCTTGCTGAAGCTTTATTTTTCTCAGAAATGTGTACATCGCATATTGGATAATTAACAATAATATTCTCTTAATAACTGCTTAGTATGCATTCAGTGCTTAGCAGTTTCACTTTCAGTGTGGATTATTTTGTTTCTTTTTTTGATGTTTCAGAAATTATTTTTCAAGAATTAATTATTTTCTTTAGCTTACATGTGCTTTCTTTTTTAATAATTTTGGGCCTTCTCTTAATAAATTTTCATTCTTTGTTGAGTATCAGTTTCTCAACTAATTGAATCACTGTTTCGACATCTTAAAATTGTATTTGAAATTTCTTTTATGATGTTACAATAAGTTTTGTAATGCTTTAAATACATAATATTTATAACATGGCATATTCTATATAATTTCAATCTTATGTATTCATTGAACTGGCAATTTAAGTAAGTATTTAATGAGCTTTCTAATAATTAGTACAAAACCATCAAATAGTGTCCCTAGTCTACATCCATACTTCAGTATTAGTGGTTTTTCCTGTGAGATACTGAGTTAGAGATTAACGTTTATTTATTTTTGTAGCTTTAGCTTTCTATTTTAAAAAAGAGTGTATGCATTCAGTTTTAACTTGTTTACATAGGCCTTATTTTACTTCTACTTTGAAGAAAGCTGTATTTTAGGATTCTATGGAAGCAGGTACATCATCACTATCCCTTTATCATCTTTGTTTCACTCAGAAACTTATTAACATTGTCATTTGTTGGCTTTTCACTTTCTGGTTTGTTTGTTCAGTGGATTGCCTTAAGGTCAAATTTTGACATTTTTAAATTAAAATACAATTACATCATTTCTCCTTCATTTCCTCCCTCTAAACCCTTCCATATTCCTCCTCACACTCAAATCTGTGGGCTCTTTTTCCTTTGGTTATTCTTGTTATGTATCATTAAGAAACGTGTAATTTTTGAAATATGCTGTTTTTCCTTTATCCTTTATTTTCTGCTAGTGGTAATGGAACTCTTCCATATGGTTTTCAAGATTTCTCCTAATTAGAGTTTATGGAGATTTCTAAAACTTTGGGTTGGTATCCTTTATTTTTGGAAAGTTGGTCATTATGGGGTAAATTATAAATTCTGCCATGTTGTCTTTCTTTCCTTTGAAGGAATGTAACTATTGATCATATGTTTCTGCCTTTATCTGCATATGCTCTGGATTTGTTTGGTTTTCACTTCCTTCAATATCTTCTGTCTGTTATAATATGTGTAAATTGTATTCAACTTCATTTCTGATCATCAATTACCATACCTTCTCCATTTCAATATAGAGCTTGAAGCACTAGGTAGAAAAAT